AAACAGACACGACGCACTCTGGTAACTGGAAAAAAAATGTTTAAAAAAAGTCATGGTATTTGGCAAATGCCATCATTACAACGCCATACATACCTTGCAGATTTGAGCGACAAAAGCGTCACTCAGCCTTAACTGTGGACATTAAGCAGTGCTGGGAGGCTTCACTCGGCAATAAAACAAGTTGAATTGAAAGGTGCGACATGCTCGATTTTGTAGAAACGCGCCACAGTGAAGCAGCATAATCAGAGGCGCGGAGAATATTGCGGCGATGCACGCTTCCCATAACTCATCTTTATTTATTCTCAGTGAGAACCTGGGCGCACTCGTTTTTAGAAATGATGGTTGCTTTATGGTGGCAATTAGGCGTCTGGAAAAAGTAGATACAGCCTCACAAAGGCCCTTCTTCAGCAAGATATAGTCCTTTTTTTTTTTCAGGCACGCGTCTGCAGCTGGATGGAACTGCTGAAGTCACTTCCTTGTAACGTGCAATTCCAGACATACAGCCGTGGCGACATCTGTGTAGAGCACGCGAACAGCTGGTTTTTTCTCTGCGGGGCGAAATTTAGGGGCAGTATCAGGTTCTGACGTGGTCAGCCTGACAACTAGGCCACGCGTGCTCCTGATACACCACTTCAGAACCCTGAAACTGCTTCCAGGTTATGGCCCGCAGAGCAAAAACCGGCTGCTCGAGCGCTCTACACTGACGTGGGCGCAGCTGTACGTTTTCTGCGCTCTGGGCGCCGTCAGTTTGAATATCGCCACTACAATTCAACGATGAATTCACGTAAAAATTTTGTGATTTCTAAAGTAATGCGGATGTCATAAATTGGCACGTACTACAGTATATGCTAATGAAAATGATTGCGCTCAAGTGAATAATAATAAAAAAACTTTACAATATTTAGTTCAATACTGCTGTCACCGTCTTTTTTTTTTGATTGCGGCAGAGTAGTTCCACTTTGAGATAGAGCCCTGACACGGTAGTAGACGACTGTCAAAACATTCTTAAATAAAAGTCTGTATCTTCTAAAAAAAGACACCTAGTACAACGACAACTGATGTACAAAAGAAAGTGGGAGAGGGTGTTAAAAATTAAAATAGCTTCACACCAGTGGTGAAAAGCTACAACAAAGTGCGAAGCTCCGTGGTTTGCCTCTTTCTCGTTATTTTTCTCCGTCTTCATTCCTCTCTGTCTTTTCTCACTTTCTCTTTCTCTCCGTTTGTTTTGTGTCCTTTTGTCTTTGTTTATTTATCCTTATTTATTTATTTTTCACTCTATTTATTTTTTCTTTCTGTTCTATCTGACGTCCTCTTTCTATCCGTTTCTATTTCTTTCTTTTTCTTCATTTATCTATCTTTTCTTCTCGTTTGGCTTTTCACTTTTGTTTCTATCTCTTTTTTGTGTATCATTGTTTCTTTCTATCTGTCCTATTGATAAATGAAAAAAAAAAAACACAACATGAGAAGGCAGGCTATGTTAGAGCTGGCAGTGCCATCACCATGACACATAAATAAAAAAAACCAGAACAAATAAAAAATAGCAAAAAATACTAGAAGCACATATACAATAGCCGGCGTATGAAGACGAGCAGAGTCTAAACACATACAGTGCATATGGTACTGTATGTAGAGTACATACAGTGTGGTGACACCGTGAATAGCGTCTGCTATAGGCCTACAGATAATGTTCCATACACTAAAGGGCCCGATGTACTCCAACGTAACGTCGACACGCGCGTAAATACGCTGGGCGCAGCCACGCTACGTTACCCAAACGCGAGCACGCTGGTCACGTCGGCTACGCCAGGCACGACTGACGCGACCAGCGTCCGACGGCCTGGCGCATACCAGATGGGCAAATGCGACTTGCTGCATGCCATTATCCCAGTATGTGTCGTTATACCAACATATTTCGTTATACCAATGCGTTATACCAAATGTGCAAACACGACATGCTGTGTTCCGCGGCGGCTACATTATTCTATCCACCCTACCCAGACAGCACCGCGTCTGCCTCTTTGTGACGGAGGGACGCCGGGCGTGCTCAACCGCGCATGCACCAAGGCAACGTAACGTGGCACACGCCTGCGAGTGTATGGCAGGCAGAATTTCACCTGGCGTGGCATCGCCAGCGTGACGCGACGAAACGAACGCCGGCACGCGTGCGTTGAAACGTCGGAAAATATCGGGCCCTTTACATATGTCGTGACTATGAGATATGTTCATTAGTAACTCAGTACTGCAAAAAGGAGGAATAATGATGACTAGTGGATTAAACTTCTTTTCATCAAAACATTACGACGAGCGCTCACTGCGCGTTTTTGATTATGATGTTGTGGCCACGGTTTCAGCAATTTTCTAACTGGAAGTGGTTGTCTGCTCATTTCATTTTTGTCTTTCTACCTGTCCCTGTTTCTTCCCTTTCTTTCTACCTTTTCTCTCTCTGTATTTGTTCTCTCGCCCATCACAGTTGCTGAATCCCACACCGGGTAAATCAACGCACATGCTCTGGGGCCGAAAAAAAACGTAAAGAGAGAAAAAAACAACTGAACAATTGTCACTAAAAAAAGAAACTCGCGAAGATTGAAAGTACCAGCTACGCAAGGCTTGAAACAGTGAAACCATACGATTCTGCATAAATAATTTGCTTGCTTCTAGATTATTTCTAGGCCTTAGCTATACGTGATGTAGGTTCTAGGTCGCTCTTAGCTCGTTGCTATAGGCTTTAGATAGGTGGTGTCAGGATGTTTCTACGTTGATTCTCAGTGCAGGCAGGTTCGAGTAAACCACACAGTCATAGAACGACACGAATGTCCAAACTGTACAGACAGAAACTCGCACTGAAACCAAGTGTTCCCACATCTTATAAGATTACATGCATGTCGTCATGTATAGACAATCCACAGCTTCAGGGTTTTCTTTTCTCGCAGCCACCGTTGCCTTTCCGAGTATTCATTCATGTCATGTGATGTTATGCCATTTTTCGATTGTATCAAAATGTATAAAAAAAATGCTTCAAATTGAATTTATAAGTGCGTGGCTGTGTGAGTTGAATGAATGGCCTAACCTGAATGCTGGCAATCATGAGAACACAGGTTCGGGCGGGTTATTTTATTCAACTTCGGTAATTTCGAAAAGAAAGTTGCTCAGCAGAGAAAGCAGGCAGTGTGACGGCGCCTACTCACCACCGAATTACCGTCGCAACGAGCATTACCAATGGCCACACTAAAGTTCAGCTTACGTGCAAGCAATGTATGAATAATTGAATAAGTTACGAAGGAGAAAATCAAGCAAAACTTGGTGTTTCAAAAGTGCCGCAAACGAAGGTAGCGTCCCGAAAAGTATCGCTGCTTCCACTATGCACAGTGTGCAAATACGGACGCATATATATATTGGATCGAAATGCAAGATAAATAAATATTGTGCGCTAAAGTTTGTGGTGAGTTAGCGAGGTGCCCAAACACCAGCGGCCAGAAGCACCGTTATAAAACACGCGGTGGGTCGAAGAGTTGATCACCATGCGGAAAGAAGTTAAGCCACACGGGCAGGGAAAACGCCGCCCCGGAAAGTAATTGCGCTTGAGCACAACGAGCGCTTCAACGGCGACCGGCGGGCAAACTGTTGAGCTTCTCCGATAAACCGCGCGCAAGTAGTAGAGGGGTGGTGAAAGCAAGCGAAGCACCTCACTGTAGAGGAGGGAAGCGTTCGAGAGCGGCATCCTCATCTCCCGATTTCTCACATCCCCACGAACCCGCCCCGCTCGACCCGTAAGGCGCCGCTTGCAGCGCCAGGCGGTGCGCGCGGCGAACTACAAACGCGGCGTACGCCCACACCGCGCCAGTCTGCGCTCGGCTCTTCACGGCAGCCAGACGTCCGAGAGGGTGCGGTTGTTGCCCGAAGTTCTGAACCGGCTGCTCATCTGGTGCGACAACGAGGACGGGCGACGAGCCTTGCTGTCGGCATTTTATTTTTCACCCACTGCCGCGAAGTTCAAGCTCTCGCTAAGACAATCTACCTGCGTCTTCGCCCAAGAACATCGTGAACGCGCTGTACGCGCGTAGCGAACTAGCGAACTCTGTTTTACCATCTACATCAACGACGGTCTCTTGCGCATGTGGTCAGCGCAAAAAGAAGAAAAACAGAGAACAACTGGCACCGAGTTCTTCACGAGAACACCCTTTGTTCGTCAGTCACGACGTTTGCGCCGACTGGCTGCTGAAAAATTCGCCGACTGCGACGGCCAGCACCATCAGTTGTTGAACTCGGAAGTCTGAGCAATCTGACGACTAGTGCAAGGAAACATTTTCTGCTCTCGCAGAGTTGTGTACACTTGGCGTGAACAGTGGTGTAATCATTAACTTTTTCCCAACCACCAGAAATGTGAACTGTGACGACAAAAAGTTCCCATTCCGAGTTTAGCAATGATTGCAAGCACACCACAGAGAAAAAAAAAGCAGGTGTCACCTTTCATGGATACTGTCAACTATGAGCAACAAGTGAGTACAGACTGAAGCCAGAACTTAAGTGAAACTTGTGTGGAAAAAGACGTGCAACTTGTGTAAAAAAAGACTAGACAGGCACCCGTATCCAGCTCTCCCGAACTGAAGTGGAGTGCGGGTAAATTCGAGGACACTTCTAGCATCTTGAATCTTTGGTTGGTTTCTTCCTCCTCGCATTAGGTGGCTGGGGATTGACAGCTTGAAGGAACCGTACTATCTCTACTGTATAGTTGACTACGCTTCCAGCCTAACTTCGTGTCCCTAAGGCAGCTCTGCAATTCCCACAATCCTGCCCTGCAGCAGAGGTGGTGGGCCCAATACGTTAAATATCTAGGTTTGTAAACTTCATTCGATCATTTCTTCATCATTTACTTCCAAAAAACTTTTCCAGAAGTTTACCACAATCGTTGATACCCGTTCAGCAATATGATTTCACTTAGAGTGAGAAATAACAAACTGCTATTCGCTGAGGACAGTAACAGTGGTAGCATCGTGTATGACGTCCACACATCCTTGCTTACACTCTAGAATATTTTAGTTTAGACTTCACTCCTTTGAGGAGGCACAGAGCCTACATCATGAGTGCGATGAACGCAACATCAGAAGATTTCAATGTAACCCCGAGGTCTCCATTAGACGCGGCCCGCGACGTGTACCGCCTTGCGGTTCCCGTCATGCTAGTGGCCTGTTTAATGTCCATGGTCTTCAACGTTGTTATAGTCGAGTCGGTTCACTGGCTGCGTCGCAGCCCTAGCCCGACGCTTTGCTTCAGCCTCAGTTTGTCGGCGGCGAACGCTTACGCGTCCCTGGTGCTTGGCGTCGGACTCGTAGTAAACAGCCTACTTCCGACCTTGTACCACATCCAGCCTCCGGCCTGCTGGGCGCTGTCCCTGGAAGCATTCCGGTTAACGGGTCTCATCGCTTCAGTATTTCACCTGCTGGCCCTCGCCGTGAACCATTACATTGGCATCTTGCGGCCTCTTCACTACGCTGCAACTGTCACTCGACGCACTGTATGGCTCACAACAGCAGCAATGTGGCTTGTGCCTCTCTTTTTCTTCCTCTTGTACTTCACAAGCGTACCGGGGCAGGGATTTCAGGTGGCAAACTGCCGCTACGACTTCATACTCTGGAGCCCCTTCCGCGTTACACTTTCCGGACTTTTCTTCATTCCCCTGGTACTCATGTGTTTCATATACACACACATTTTCGTGCTGGTTAGACGCCACCAAATGGGAACGGGCCTATCCGCGCAAATTCCGGGACAGCTTCGCAGGAGCGTAAAGGCCGTCTACACCACGCTGCTGATACTCGGCACTTACCTCATAGGATGGATGCCAGCCGTACTCTTTTACGTACTTACATGCCTCGATTGTCCCTTGCCGATTACATCGTTGTCCTTCGACCTGCGCCTCACCTTCGGCATACTCACCAACACACTGGTGTTGATCAAGTCTTTTGTCGATCCAGTCATCTACGTAGTGCGGATGCGTGAAATTCAAGAAGCCTTCGTACTCATGTGGAAGTCTCGCTGTGGCCTAGTGGATGTGGCCCGATCTTCGGTAGACCTCATGCGGATGGCCCACTCCCGCAGTGACACGCAACGCATGACGACCAATGGGTCGCAGCACAAACAACGCTGCATCGCCCAGTTCAGCTAGCCCGACCGACGGCGTGGCGAACAGTCATCAATGAAGCGGCAAAAAACCACCGCAACAGCCCTGTAAACAAGGTGTGAACTACACGCCGAGGCTCCCTCCGAGATTTTCGATGAACAGCTGCTTATATAACACGATGAGAAGATGAACACAGGAAATGTTTGAATAACGGTGTTAGAGAGACCAGGTAGGTGACGGGGCAGCTCGTCGGGACGATTCCTCACTGACCTCTCTCTGCAGGAGCCAATTCAAAGCTTTTCATCAGGTCAGTGCCCTAAAGCAACAGGGCACTTTGTGTTTCACTGTTTATTAAGCGTAAATATTGTCTTATTGCACGTATGCCATGCTATACTGTTCCATATAGACGTCCAAGCGTCCTTCAACCTAAATCCGTTTGCGCGTGGTTTACGTTGATTAGCGCTTGGAACGACATTGTTGACGCTTCTTTTACGCTAGAGAGAAAAACTGTGTTTCTTTCGCCCGGGCTCAAAGAAACTGTGATGTGCACTAGTGTGCGTTCTTTGGTATCTTTCAAGCACACGTTCATTAGATTTCAACAAAGCATGCCCCACTTTAGGGTTAATAAGCATTGCGAGTATCTTGAATTACCCTTTTCATATGTGTGTTTTTGCGCAATGCTTGCATAAAAATGGCTGTGCGTGTACAGATAAGAACAATATATTGCTAAAGTACAGTTCTGTTTTTCAAACGTTTTCTCGGTTTTTACACGCTCAAGCACAGTGAGTGACTGTCTATGTAATGTCAATGTTTCCAACTCATTCTGATGCATGCTGTTTACTCGCTCGCATACAATAGCACCGGTTCAAGGAAATGTACCGGGAGTGATGACACAGGATAACCTCCGACGCGATGCTCACTTCACCTATGTGTCTTTCTTCCCCTCCCTGTGAACTGTTATGACCGAGTGTTCTGTGCTTTCAAATTTAGTCATGTGTTCTCGGATGTCTTCTGCTGTGAAGGGCCGTAGGTATACATCAGTACCTTCGGCCCGACAGCGAAGGGTCCAAGACTGTACGAGTATATTCTGTGCAACTTGCGCAATGAACATGTGGCAAGAGAAGGGATATCAATCTGCTAGCGATGAAGTGACGTAGCATTCTGTAATAGTGGCGGCCCTTTCTATAAAGCCAATCCTTGAGTGCTGATTACGGAGTTGTACCCGATCCATGTCGTTACCTGAAGTTGTGTTGCGGGTTTCTCACGTGAAAAGATGACAAACATTAAATCTTTGTTCCTACTGTTTTCAAATTTTGTGTCCTTTCGTACGCGAACGCGTAGCACATTTGCGTGGCTTGAATTGCGAGGGATTGAAGATACAATGAACGTACGCATTTCAGAGAATGCAATAAAAGCAACACCGTCTCATGGTGCTAATCAAACTCGCACAGAACTAGTTGATAGAGGTGCGCAGTTGCCCAGCAACGACGCCTAGCCATTCACACTTGAACAAAAAAAAATGCGTAAGCGGATTATACGGATTACTGTGTGCATGATGTGATGACTAAAGACAGGTAGCCGTCACATCTACCGTTGACGTCAGTGAAGCGACACCGACGGAAACACCGTTAGACAACGCCGAACTTCTGCGATACCCCTTTATCGCACATTACAAGAGAAACCACAGCATAAAAACTTCCTCTTTGATGAAGGTTTTATTGATTGCATACTATGGCGGCTTGAATTCTGCGCCCTCTTTGCACACCCTATGGTGTGCTCTCCTGACCAATCACCATGCAACTTTTTAACGTGGAGGTTTGAGTTGATAAGGTCTGTTAGTGAGCACTCTTATTGGATTGCGAACAGACTGTCGTAACGTTGGTCAGCAATACTGTTGTAACCATACATGATTGTCACAGCACGTATGGTCATAGATGCTATGACCACGTACGTGCACATTCCGAACAAACCGGGAAATTCAAAGATGCACATGTTTAACGTAGCAAAACCACACCTCAGTGGTGCCGGGCTCACAAATGAAACTGGAGACGACTTCGGACGTATTAATGTCGTCAAAGTAGGGCACCCAATAGGATGGTAAATGTTGCAGTTTTAAGTCCCCAAACCACGATGTGATTATGAAAGATTCCATAGTGCAGGGCTCCACACCTTAGGGGGTTCTTCAACGAGCGGCTAAAGCTAAGAGCACGATTCTATAGCATTGTGCCCTCAATAAAATGGGCACTTCATATAGTGCATGGTGAAAAGTAATCACTTCTGGGCAAGGTACTGCAGTTTGATAAGCAGACACTACACAGGCAACGCGCTTTAGTGTGTGTGTCATCTCTAGTGCGGTGCCTAGCTTTCATGCCGTTAACACTTTGTATCCTACAGCCAATCAAGTTACACACAAAACAATTGCAGAAGCCTTTTCTTTTTTTCGGCATATGCAATGAAAATACCTAGGAAAGTGAGAATAAGCCTAAAGTCTGGAAAAGTTATCTTTAGTTCAAAACATCAAAAAGTGTACACATAAGTGGTCACTATGAACACTGGTTACACTCGATTTATCATCCTTCTTTATCGTACGTAAGAACGGTGCGTGCTGGCGGCAATGTTTCAACGCTTTGATCCTTATCATGTACTACAATCAACGCCTTCATAATCAGTTCAACGAGCTCATATTTAACATCATCATCATCGTCATAAACGTTCGCGTGGTCACATGGTAACGGCTCTGATTCAACACTTTCAACATCATCTTTCATGAACGCCATAATGAACGAATTCAACATCATGTTCTACTCTTTCATCATCACCATCATTATCAGTACTAAAGGCCCATTAACGTTCCCACAGCTGGTGTGTTCGTCATCATCTTCGTCACCATTGATTACCGTTACCGATGCGTTCATGGTTATGTCAAAACGGAATGCTTTCATCATCATCCATAACATTGTTCAAGAGGCCTTTGCTTGTTACTGTTTCTGATTTAACGCGCTGATTATCGTCGGTGCTCTCAAAATCGGAACAAGCACTTGCGTTAGAGAGACTGAAAATTATGGCGTGTACGCTTCCTCAAAAAACCCCTGTCCCGTATAATGCAGATAATTCAAGGCAAGTTCTCAAAAGCGCATTCAGCTATATTGCAAACAATGTATTGTGTAGAGTTGCACGGCAACGAAGCGGGATCTACTACGCCATGCGACGTTCAATCAGTTTCACATGAACTCAGTATGTCTGACTTCAACAAATGTGAACGCCGCCACAACAACTGAACTTCCAAAACTTTCGTCTCTCACAGTGCTACGAAGCTAGCAAAAAAGCAAGATTAACCCTTCCTTTTCTGGAGTGAAGTCGAATAATTTAAAAACTTCAATTTTGAGTGAGCTATATACAGAATGTTGGCACAAAGCCTCTACATGCGTCATGACAACGTCATTGTTCCGTGTGCAAAGACCGTTGTTTGTTGACAGAAGTGGACACATATATACCCTTTTATTAAATGCTGAAGTAACGCCAACATTTCAAATGGAATGGGAAAACATTATTTATTTCAAATTGATTTTTGAGGCAACGCGTTCGCTAGCTTGATCCCACTTGATCGATATCTTTTGTCTACATATGTGGACGCTGGGATAGAAAACGTTGAAAATAGTCTGTATAAGGTGCTCGCTGTTGACTTTGTAGCACTAGTGAAACGCTGCTATGCAGTCACTAGATGTGTTGTTGGCGCGAATCATTTATAGAATGAAACCGCGCTCGCCAAACACTTTTTTCTTCCACCTGGAGGCACGAGGTTTAAGTTTTGTGCCTGTGTGTGTCAAGAAGAATCAACACAAAGCGAAAACAAAAAAAAAAAACAAAAAACGGTAACCATTCCCGATTTTAGTGAAGTTTACTCTAGGCACTGGCTTTAGACAAAAAACAATTATTCTGAAGTTAATTTTGCAAAAAAAAAATTGTTTTATTCGCTTAGAAACTTCGGCAAAAAAAAGTTCCGCCAATTTTACATATCTTGAATTTCGCAATCACCTAGTGAAATGCGGTGTCCTCCTTGGTCGCCTTATTAGTATTTCATTTCTCTTTTATACGAAAAAAAATTTTTGAGAAAAGAAAATTCCAATCAAGCTAATTGATACATAATACTTGTATTTCAGGCATTTATTGTCGTAAACAAGTGAAAGTAGAGATAATAAATCTAGTTACATGTGAATTTTGATATTTATTCTATTTTTTAGGATGGCTTTAGTGGTTTTCGAGCAAATATTTACTATTTAAGCCTTTGATGAAACGCATGTGGCTTACTAAAACGCCCACGTTTCAAAATACTTTGGTGAGAAAGGCCACTTTCAATACTTTTTTCTTAAAATCACTCTATTTAGAGTCAGGCATCCTCGCTACCATTATGTGTGAAAAAACATTGCACTCTGTCAGTTTCTAGCAACTTATAATGCGTCACATACGACCAACTAAACATAGCGGACGCGCCACGCACTGCTTTCTGCGAATCTATACGAGTTCTCCACAATAATTGGACACACCATAATCTCAGTCACTGTCACAAAAGAAATGTGTAGCCTGGTTGTAAGGTGCGGCAAGCTTTATCTTGTGATCAGTCGCTGGGAAAATTCGGGCAAACGAACAGCAGCGGTGACCGCTCGAAGATGCGGGTGCTCAGATTTCATATGCGACGTGATTGCGGGCGTGATCCGCTTGCGCTAATAAACGGCCCTATTTGGGCGAATGACACATCGAATGCATCACGGCGAAACGTGAAGGCTCTTATTGGCAAACAAGGTCCATATTATGCAACGAAATCTTTGCGGGAAACATCGCAGCGAGCAAAACCACCGCCGTTCTCGTTGCGTGTAATGAACCTTCTTGTCAATTAACAACTCTTTTGCAATACATTCCTTGTTTTATTCGCCCTCCGAGCATCATTTTTACGTGCAAGCAGCTTTCTCAGGTTCGCCAAGTGACTGCAAGACAAAGCGTACCGTACCTTGTAACCAAACTGCGCATTTATTGCTTTGTAACAGTGA